TCAACTGTGATTGCAAATTTTTTTATATCACCAAAAAGTATGTCAAAACAAACAAATTATTACCGGCAGAACTCTGTACGATGATTTTTTAAGTAGAATTTTTCTTTGAAAAAAAAGTGTTTCAGACCGAAAAAATGAATATCTCAGAAACTTCTTGATTTTTTTATCTAAAAAATTTGAGGTTATTTAAGACAGAGAAAGGTATACTTTCACCAAGTTTCGTCAAAATTAAATTACTTTTGCGGAAATGGGAAATAAAAGACGAAAAATCAGAAGAAAACCTGTTTTTCGCATATTTCTAGGAAATTTTGAGGTTATATTAAAAAAAGACCTATAAAAGTTGTAGATTTTTGCATGATCAACAACTTTTGTATTGGATACTTTTTTGTCTGCTGTCAACTTTCGCCAGAAATCCCAATAATACAATTTTTCATTACTTTTCCACCCCCCAAATCAACCCTCCGCCGCCCCTGCTCACGCATTTATTTTTTTTCGTTTATTATAAGCCCCTTTACCATTTCCACTTATAAAAGTCCAGGTAACAATTTTCTTTTTTTTCGCCTCTAAATGAGTTATTTTGATCGGTCTATTAGTCCCATTACCGAAAGGAATATAAGGAAATAAGAGACTCGAAAAAACTTGAATGGGAGCATAGTTACCAATGACGGACAATTTACTCAGAAAACCTGAGGCAGATGACGGGGAGTTTAAAAAAGTCGATAAAAATCCAACCATTCCACAAAAATAAAGACTTGTGAAGTCCAGATTTTGAGATAGTTGCACGAAGATCATCCAAATCCAAAGAGTCCGTTCAAAAGCGCTGAGAATGATATTCAATGCTCCAGGGCATATCAGCAACAAAATACTCCACTACGACTCAGACATACTAAAGACAAAATCTGTAGAATCACCAGAAATTCGATCTCGATGGGTTACAAAACCATTCAAATGAAGAAGTGGTGATAACTTAAAAAAATGACGATTTTCAAAAGAAAAAAAGTGTAACAATTTGTTAATCATTATATTTTTCAGTTATCACAACATGCAAACTGAATATTAGTGTATAATTTTTATCTCTGCAGATTCCTGAGGACATTTTCTGATGACATGATTATTTATTTGGGTTTTAAACTTATTATGTCATCTAAAATTTTAAAGGTATATCTAGTTTCATTGTCTATATTCGAATGAAGTAATATTTATGCTTGCTTTTCTGGCATATCAGCAAAATTTTCAGATGGATCAAGAATTCTATCTATTTCCTCTGCCTTAGGTGGTCCTAAATTTGTCTCTCTTTGAAGATCTTGTGTAAATTGGTCTAGTTCTGGATCATCAATATTGGATTCAGTAACTGTAGTATGTGTGGGTTGTAGATAATGCATCTACGTTCATGTTTAATGTTTCTTTTTCAAATTCAATAGTAAATTCATAATCTTGTAATTTTGTTCTCCATCTTATGAACCATTAGTTTTCAAAATCTTTTGGATGGAGGTTTTTGAAATGCCTAAATCCTATTCAGCGGCACGAACTGGTGATTCAGGGTAAGCATGAAAATATGCGAAAATATTGATCTAAAGTTATCGGCTTTGGCAAAATTCTATGTGCAGAAATTTGACCATGTTCTAATTGATTTCTTAAAATTCTTCGTAAAATGTGTCTACTCCTTGGTGGTAAATGAAGATATCTCTCATTAAATACCCTGCAAATCCTATTTATTATCTTGTGACACTCTCCAGGAATAAATACTAAATTTAGAATGTTAGCATTTGAATAATAATTGTTAACATTTTCCATTCTTTAACAATCAATAATACTCAAATAAACATTCACTGTATGTGTTAAATTGACAACAATAAACTGTTGGCAGATTAGGTGCTTGTTTTGTATTTCCACTAAAAATTTCACAGCCATCCTCGCAAGAAATTATGTGATATCCGTTGAGTGCACGAAAAATAGTAAATACCTTAAAAATCAAAAGAGATAGATATAGGGAAGCATTATACCATTCGAAAGAGAACAAAAAGTTGCGCAAAAATATACAGAGTGTTTCAATAAAAAAAAAAAGTAAGATGGTATAAAGTTGACTAAATTCGACATTATATTTCTAACACCCTGTATGAAATTAAGTCATTTTGAAATTATGACAGCAAAGATTAGATTTCTAGTTATGTCCCCTACAAATTTTATCGCTCTAACTTTATTATTGTAAAATACACATCTTTTTGAATTAAGCAGTGCTTTTTTAATTTTTTTTTTTAAATTAAATATATCAAAAACGGTTAACTTTAAGAATAGGAAACCTTTATGAAAGTTCACCTAAAAATTGACGTAGAAACCAAAATTGCAATAATATACAGGGTGTTCCATTTAAAATAACGAAGATGACGGCAACATCCTCCGGTATAACCGGAATCGTTAGGTGGACGCCATTATTTTAGTTGAGAATGGCATGCCCGAAAACACGGTATCCCAAATTTTCAAAATTCAAATCGAAGTAGCCTCTGAAAATTCTAATGGGCCGTCACCGTGAGACACCCTGTATAGTCCAATCAATAGGTAGAAGAGCTTACAAAAAATACCACCTGAAAACAAAAAATATGGTGATATAGGAAAAAAAAATCTAAAAAAGGTAGTGTATTCTTCCTGTGGCACATAAATGTGCGAAGTTAACCTAAAAAATTCATAAAAGTTAAAAAGA